AATGCCCAAGCAGCCCAGGACCAGAGACAAACAGTGTGGGAATTCTGCACACGCAACGCGCACAGCCTGTGTGCACAAGCTTGCAGTCAAATGGCAATGAGCCTCTAGTGAGCCAGTTTCAACAGACATTTTTTCAAGGCTTAACAATACGGTTTATTCTGTAGGAGATCGCAAATGGAACTCCCTACTGCCAGAACAAGTCCCAGCTGTCGAGCTCCTAGTCCAAAGGACAGGATTGCTAGTGTATTACTGGTAAAAGCTATTAAATATGTGCTATGTATTTCTCCCCAACCTCAAGGTCAGAGAGGTTTGATCCATTTCAATTTAAAAATCAGCCAGAAGCATACTCTCAGCATGGCAAATTCAGCGTAAACAGTGAAAAAGTGGCCAAATTGTAAAAACAGGATCTTGTAGTGGGAAGCACCATGCAACCCTGCTGCCAGCTCTGCTGGTAATATATGGAAACAGAACCACCACCTATTCTGTCCGCACGCTGGAACCCGACCTCCCCCGCGTTCTAAGTACTCTTCTGTATCTTTTCCAAAAATGTACTTGAAATTATTATTGATTTTGTCATTTTGGCTTTAGGGTTACATTCATCTCACAGATCCAGCTATATTCAACTCTACCCCATAAGAATTTTCGAAAACTAGAGCTAGAGAGACCAGTGTACAGGTATTACATTGACTAGTTAAAAGACCAAAGCTGTGTTATTTTCCCTTCTGTAAGACAGCTTTCAATTGACTTCATTTCCATGCCCCAAAATATAACTGAGGACAGTGGCATACTCTGTCTCAGTATTTTATGCTCAATTTAACTGCTATATTGCATTAAATGATGTGCAATAATGTAACACTAAATGCAAATAAATTAGTATTTGGTAAATCTCTTTGCTGCCTTCTCCAAATAGAACTTTTTTATAGATTTTAATGAACTAGGAAAACTAAACATCCCCGTATGGTGAGAAAATTTCAAGGCATGTATTAAAAGAAAAATGTTATGTTACTCATCAAAAACTAATAGATGTGACAGGAGAAAAAAATTAAGCTATGAAGATGAAACTCAAATAATTAGCAAATATGGAAAAATCATCTATTACGGTGCTTGTAAAAGACTCAGCACAGGCTGAAAGAGAAAAACACGCTTTTCAAAGTTCAAGAGCAGAACACACTAAATTTCATTTGAAGCAAATTATTTATAGTTATAAAATTCCCCAGAAAATTAAAACACACACAAACCCCGAAATAAATCATTGAATCATAGAATGGTTTGGGTTGGAAGAGACCTTATAGACCATCCAGTTCCCCCCCCCCTGCCATAGGCAGTGACACCTTCACTAGACCAGGTCTCTCAAAGCCCCATCCAATCTGGCCTTGAACACTTTCAGGGAGGGGGCCTCCGCACCTTCTCTGGGAAACCTGTTCCAGGGCCTCACCACCCTCAGAGTAAAGAATTCCTTTCTTCTATCTAATCTACATCTACCCTCTTTCAGTTTAAAGCCATTAGTTCTTGTCCCATCACTACATGCCTTTATAAAAAGTCCCTTTCCAGCTTTCTTGTAGGCCCCCTTCAGGTACTGGAAAGCTGTTATAAGGTCTCCTTGGAGCCTTCTCTTCTCCAGGCTGAACAGCCCAAACTCTCTCAATTTTGTAGCTCTCCTCTGGACCCGCTCCAAAAGGACTATGTCTTTCCTGTGTTGAGGGCTCCAGAGCTGGACGCAGGACTCCAGGTGGAGTCTCAGCAGAGTGGAGTAGAGGAGCAGAATCCCCTCCATCAGCCTGCTGGCCATGATTCTTTAGATGCAGCCCAGGTTACAGTTGGCCTTCCGGTCAGTGAGCACACACTGGTGGGTCATCCTGAGCTTCTTGTCTACCAACAGGTCCATGTCACCAAAGATATTAAACACCACCGGTCCCAATATCGATCTCTGATGAACACCACTCATCGCTGGTCTCCACTTGGACATCAAGCTAACGACCACAGCTCTTTCAGTGTGACCATCCAGCCAATTCCTTATCCACCGAGTGGTACAGCCATCCAATTCATGTCTCTCCAATTTAGAGACAAGGATGTCATGCGTGCCATGTCAAATGCTTTGCTCAAGGCCAGGTAGATACACCAGTTTCTCTCTCCCTATCCACCAACGCAGCAGTAACCCCATCATAGATGGCCACCAAATTTGTCAAGCACGATTTGCCCTTAGTGAAGCCATATTTGCTGTCACCAATCACCTCCTTATTTTCCACATGCCTTAGCATAGTTTCCAGGAGGATACGCTCCAGCGTCTTGCTGGGTACAGAGGTGAGACTGACTGGCCTGTAGTTCCCTGGGTCTTCCTTTATACCCTTTTAAAAGTGGGGGTTATGTTTCCCCTTTTCCAGTCACTGGGAACTTCACTGGACTACCACAACTTCACAAATATGATGGAAAAACATCAAATATGATGGAAATGCATCATTATCATCAGAACTATTGAAGATGTTACCTCTTTCCGTCTAAGAGTGTAATGTTTTCTTACTATATTAAAGACTTTGAGGAACTTTCTCTGAATCTCAGAAAGTTTCTCACTCGGTCTTTTTCTGGACATTACCGAGTAGCCTGCAGGCCTCTCCAAGCTGTATTTGCTGCCAGTCCCACAGATATAATTCTGGCAATCTAAAGATACAAAGTAGTCTAAAGGTGTCCTGCAAACACTTCCCTTTCCCTGGATGAATGCCCTTCCCTCATGCAGTTGCCACCTTAACAGACATAAATCACCCCAAAATAAGCAATATATATAAAAACTACAAACACAGGTCGGTTTTCTGGTACCCTGTTACTTTGTATTTCAAGTAGCAGGAAACAATTCTGGGCATCTGGCCCTGCAATCCCAGTATCTCCCTGATCATTCAAAACCGACTGCAGGGCACGCAGATCTACATATTGTGTAAGTACTGTAACAGTTGTACAGTTTAGAATTGCAGGAATGAAGCTTGCATGCAGTAAACAAAATACTCGAGTATTTATCTCTGCTGCACTTACCTTTCACTTAACATAATTAAAGAGAACCATGGCCATATGGCAAAAACACAGAACTAGGATTCATGAACCATTTCTATGCTGTCTAGGTTCTTCTGCCACATTTCTTATGGAACTGTCTGAGTTCCTCCGGCATGAAACAAGGTGACAAGCATCTGTCACTTATTTACTCTCTTGGCTTCTCTCCATAGAAATGTGTACAGTGTGGGAGGGAGAAGGATGGCTGGTTTATATGTGTGTCGCGGGAAGGAAGTTAATACGGTTTGCAGAAGACCTTATTCCTGTAAGTCATTGAACAGTTTGAGCCTGCCCCAGCCAAGTTCTGTCTCCCACCCAGGTGAACATCACTTTGTGTGCGAAGAGTCCCGTTGTGCTAGAAAAGCCCAGCTACTGGCAGCAGCATTAAATCACTAAACTTTGCTCAGTTTCTAAAATACTTTGTACCCGAAAGTGTATACGATCCTTAGCTGAGCATCACTGTCCATTACTGAGGGGATATCACTTTCTAGGAAAGACGGATGTTTTTACCTTGTTATCTCCATGTGCTTCAGAAAATACAGCATCTTTCAGTCTGGATCTTATGCCTGGTGTTTTCATTGACATGTCAAGCAAGACCCCTGATCTGGCTTAACTCCAAATGTAGCACTGAAATGCCAACATCGTAGAGAAGTACTGACACTTAACTCATAACTGTTTGTAAAATGCTTACAGAATGAAAGGTGCTATCTAAGCATCTAAGAATTATTACTCAGTGCATGGAAAAATGTTTATTTACATACAGGATAAGACTGTGTCAGGAAGTAGTATAGCATTAGTGAATAAGACTCTAGAAACAGGAACTGCATACCATTACGTTCATACATTTAATAAAGGCTGAATGTGACAATTAAGAAAGGTCAATACCCTTGAGGAAGCAGGACAGACAGACAGGGAGAGGTCGAAGTAGTTATTTTTGCATTAAGGAAACAGGCTAAAATGTCTTTATCTGCTGTCAAGAGATGTTTTTTGTGTAACAAAAATACCTTTAACCTTTTAAAGACATCACACAAATGCATCCAATTAAACTGCTACGTCCAGAAAGACGGCATCCAAGCATCTGTTTATTATTGTAACTTTTCTACTCCTGCCATAAAGAAATTTAAAAGTTATTCATCTTTACAGCAATGCCTGATACTATTTCTTCCCATTATTATAATTCCTTTAAACCCAGCAGAAAAATATTCATGAGTTCTTTCATGTGAGTCCTCATCTGGTGAGACTGAAGGCACAGAACTATTTTACAAAGGGGAACTGGAACGTAAAGCTGCTCTCTGAACACAGGAGAAAATTCACCCTGAGCAAAGGGCCCGAACAATGCCTATGCATCAGTTAAGACTCAGTTAAGCCTTAAAATCGGATTTAATTACGAATTTTATGATCCACTGGCTATGCACTGGTCTTGTCACAGCGCTGCTTTGCTCCCTTCCCTGAGCACCTTTCTGACAAAGACAGGACAAGCAGATTGTAACACAAACTTTGGCAGCAGTACACTTTCTAATAATGCTGATCCTGGACCAGTTGTTTTCTCCAGCTGTATGATACAATGTCTAAAGCATCCTTATAATTTGTATACTGTAGTCACATGCATCAATTACATGCTTTTATTTGCATCTGGTTCTTTTCAATTTAATGCTGCACTTTTGTATTTTTCACTACCAAATCCCCCGCCCCCATCAAAAAACAAAGGCAAAACTAGGTGTGATTTACCTTATTACAATTTTTAGAAACTTGGCAAAGAGCACTGCTTGACATACTGTCCTTATCTGGCATTCCTAAAAAAAAAATACAGAAAATAGGTACATACTGTACATTCCTTAAGGAACAGTGGAAATATTTATCAACAGAATAGGAAACTGAGGGGTTCAATACTTTGATAACATATGCATTAATCTATGATTTTTTAAGAGCAAAACAGATTTATTCAGACAAAAGTTTTCTCTGGTGAATGCAAAAAAAGACAAAAAGCTAACTTGTATAAATACTAGAAACAGTTTGCTAAATATAGTACTTTCTCATAACTTAATATTTGATGTATGTACACAGGAATTATTTATATTTATTTCATTTAACATTATCTGTGTTTTAGTACCTGGAAGTCAAATGTGACACTGGGTTTGCACTAACTGGCATTGCTATGCTATGCTATTGTTTCCCAAGTAGAACACATAACATGTGGGACAAAATTGGCAGATGCAATTGCTAGCCATCAGATATTGTCCTGGCTGACATCTAAATAATCCTCTGGCAACCAAATAAAAGTACCTTGATTTACAGAATTGATGAGTTCCAAAGGCTGCACTTGGATTCCTGTCTACAGCACTATCCCACAGTTTGACAGGTTCTCATGAGGCAGAGACATACCCAAACTTCTTTAGCGACGTAACTAAGGTCAGACAGCAGCATGTTTACTGCAGGCTGTCTGCCCAAGCACTGACCTAGGCTCCCAAGCAAGTTGTGTAGCTCGTCATAACTAAAAATATAAGCCAGTTTGTCACATTTATTATACCAGCAGGACTCATGGCCATGTTCCATGGAATTCATGTCATGCCTGCAACCAGTTACATGACGTCGTACAGTCTGCTTTAGTCAACAGGCCTGGTTCATAGTGCAGATTTGTGTACAGCTCTGTGTACACTTTATACAGTTGGGAATGCAGTTAGGCAAGTTCCAATGTATTTTCTACTATATGCAGTATTAATATAGTCGTAACACTGAATTGAATTTAACATTTAAATTCAGCACCTGAAACCAGAGGACTTTCATCTTACCCTTTCTTCTCTTTTCTCTTTTTTCTAACATCTGGTGTCTATTTTCTCATACTTACTGTCATTGTTGGAGACAGTTTCCATAACACCATAAGGAGGAGTGAGAAGTCCAGACATATACTGCCGATATTTCTGAAAGACAGCAATGGCACATTCAGTCAGCTACAGATGTATAAAGCCATTCAATGGATGCTGTGGCATTTACATTTTGTATCTGCTGCCTTATGCTTCACGTACACACAAGCAATCCGAGGCAGTCAGACGTGTCTTCACTCTTAACGCTACAAGGCCTGCTTTCTTGACTGGAGTACACTGCCTTTATTTTATCAAAAGTTGTGCTAAAACAGTTCCCTCCATCTTCCCCAAAGCATGACTTCAAGGGTTCAAATCAATCAATATTGTACTTAGTTGTGTTATTTCCCATAAAGGCTGTTTTAAAGCTCATTGGAAATTATACTACTCAGGTGAAGTCAAGCTAGAAAGCTGCTTTATCGTATGGATGGAGACACGGATTCATGAGAATCATGTACCACCACAATTTTGGTGTCAAATTTGAAATATACAGGATTTCGTGTGAAAACTCTGAACGTTTAATTCCAACACACTAAGTTTGGTTTTCAGAAATGACAAGGTTATGAAACGCACAAACCCAGCACCTCATGTTGTGTACACACACACAAATAAACTGTACTATCAAGTGAAACTTTGTAAGTGTAAAAAATAATGCCCGGTGTACCACTGTAAACTACATAATTGTAACTGATGTCAGTAACTGGTATTTTTCTTCAGTGAATGCTGGTGACATGACCATAAGGTTCAAAGCTCTGTCTACAGCTTAAGAAATTCACAGAAGCTAAAAAATAACACCAACAGAAAAAAATGTCCTTTTATCAAATACAAATCATTCAATGAATAAACGACACAATTTTCAATCATACTATATTACTGTTGTGCTTAAGGGTAAACAATTATAACTCCCTTTTGGAACTGTCAGAAAACAATCTTGTGCAACAGGTACGCTGATGATCAGCGTAAATAAATTGTGTCATGCAGTCCTTAGGGTGTGCAGTGAGCTGAACATGAACAACCAACCAGCTGAAATTCACGTAGGTTTCAACTAAGCACACATAATAATTGAGACAGAAAATTTCCCTCATAGTACAATTTTAATCTTTAAGTTTTATCCTTTGCTCTATGGAGCTGTTTGGATGTATTCACTTTTAAAATGCTGGCTGCTGGATTTTAACAGATGCTTGAAGTATGCTTTTAGCATTTAATTTTCTTGGAAATGGATATGAAATTATCATCAGTTCTATCACTAAAAACTGAGTGTCTTGCATTCTAAATAATAACAAAAGCTACAAAGATTACATTAATCTTAATAATCCAATCCTATTTTTAGACAACCTATTACACATCCTAAAGCTTAGTAACATATTATTTAAATCTCACTGATAATCCAGCTGAACATTGTAGAAGCAAAACTATGTTATATCCCTGGTCAGTCACACAAAATAAATGCTACTTCATTTGAGGATAAAACTCTCCTATTTTATTTCCCAAACCATTCACTTTCCCATACTCTGCATCCAGTCCTATGCCTGGAGCTCCACGAGTGGAAGAACGTGAGAATTTTTTTCTCAGTGCAACTAGTAAATCACACACATGAAACAAGGGAAAAACTCATTTTGGCGGGCCAAATGAAAAAAAGGAAAGCATGTCACAAGGGGCTGAAACAACATTTCATTCAATCAGTAGATAAAATTTTTGTTCTACCTTCTACTGAATTTGGTCTTCAAATCTGATTTAGAAATGGAAAATTGAAATGTTTTATTTAGGATATGATAAAATCAAATTTTGTAGGGTTTTTTTCTTTTGTTCTCTCTCACTGTTCATTTCATTATTCTGTTTTTCCCAAAACAGCGTTTTCCCAGAAATACATTATTAGTCCACATTTAATCCACTTTGATAAGGAACTCGAATTGCAGAAAGACAGTAATTTTCTCTTTTATTTCCTATACCACGTTCACAGCCACAATACACCACATGGCAGTCTCCCTTCTGATTAATTCTCTAACACTTTTACTGATTATTCTTCTCATGAAAGGAATCATAGAACACACCATACAATTGCCAAAAGATTTGGGGGCCTAGCTTAACAAAAATACTTAGAGGTAGAATAACCCACAATTGCATATAACACTTTAAAGGAGGCACCTAACCCCATTCAGCCCCACCTCATGCTCAGGATGCCAAAGCCCACCAGGAACAAAAGCACGGGCTGCCAAGGACTTCAGCTCTGTCATCTTTCCCATGAAGGTCCCCCCTGCCATGGGATGAGTCTGCTTATGAGTCTGATAAGCAAGCCCAGCAAGCAGTGTTGCCTTGGAAGGAGTTCAGACAGCATTACCAGAAGAAGCATCAGCTCAAGGCATGCCCTCAGAAAGCTCAGCTGTGCAGGCTCCTCCAGGGGACCTCTGCATAAACGAAACTACCTGCTCTATCTGGGTATCTGGAGGGAAGGCTGAAATGACTGCCTACATGTGGTCTCCCACGAAGATACTTCGGTAGGCTGCGGGCTGACATTGGAGGTATAATTTACACCGAAAATTGTGTCACCTCATCACCCAAATTAAATGTCAAGGGACATTTATTTGTCAAGAAGTCAGGGAAACACTGTTTGCTGGGAAACCTAGGTATGCAAAGACAGATGTAAGTAATTACATAAAGATTTACAGTATCAGATGAAATAATGAAGTTTCAGGCGTGAGATCTCTCACAGCTGAGATAACAAGGAAAACACAATACTGACTGTGAGACCTATCTTGTTACCGTAATGTCTGTAAATGAAAAGAAAATGCAGTAAGTTAAATTCTACTAGTAGGTGGCATTTAAAATCATCCTGAAGATTAACAGACTAAATATTTACAAAAGGTTTTTGAAAACGTATTCCACTGGTGGTACAAACTCTGGAAAGGCTTTCCTTATGAAAGACAACAACAGCTATCAAATCATCATAAGCTTGTTTATTACCAGAAGTCTTCAAGTTCTGTAAATTCAACATGACAGCAGGTTTTAAAACTACACTCAGTGACCTATTCACTCTGTCTTCAGATTTCCACCGATTTATAAACTCTTATCACGCAACAGCTTAAAGATCAGACACTTCCTGCATCTAATCTGACAGCACGAGTAATAAAGACAGTATTTTTTCTTCCAGTTACTGACCGCCTCATATCCATGCAGTGGTGAAAATTAACACAACCTTTTCAGCCACTGCTGTAGCGTAAAGCACAGAAGAGCGCTGACAAGGAACAGCTGGGGATGGGAGAAAAGGAGGAAAGAGAAGCACACACTTGCCTTACTGGGGAGGTGCTGTGGGCGAATTTTCATATCAACAGCTCTTAAGGCCACTCATTGTCAGGTTTTTCAGTGTGTTCCTCCACATGCCCTTATTTAGACTTCATTTGCAGTTAGCTGCAGTTAGTCTCAGAGGTTTTCATGACTACAGTAGATTTTCTTCTACTCCCTGAACATAATTTGGTATATTTTATATATGCTAATGTTTAGAAAGGCAACTACTATAATTCTGATGCAAGCTATCTCTAAATTCCTTACAAATTTTTCTAGTGTACATAAGGTATATAAAATATGTCTTTGTAGTTAGCCCCTTCTCTTCTGCTACAAGTACTGAAGAGCTATTACCTGTTTAAAGGGGAAGAACGAGCACAAAAGAGATCTATCCAATACAAACACTCAAAAACAAGCCAGGTAGATGTGAAGAACATAGACGAGCCTTTGTGGTCTTCCATGTGCATTGTATAGCAAAACCACAGCACTCTAATGGGAAAGACTCAGGACTGATGAAGGGAAGACCTCCTGGGCATAAAGCTTTGAATGCAGGTTCCACACCAGACAGGCTCCTAAGTGCAGCAGTTTTCCAGTCAGCAAAGAGTATCTGATGGGCTGTGTAATGAGGACCCAGACAGAGATGGTTTGTAGAACTAGGGAGTCAACGCAGGCTTCTGACGCTTCCCCATCCCAAGGTGAACCTACAAGTGGCCAGATACTACAAAGTGAGTGTCTTGTAACATTGGAGAAGGTTTTGTAGACCCCAACAGATGCTTGGCTGAATACAGGATCTCTCTCTTTCTCCCCCACTCACAATCTGTAACCAGAGTTTGATCAGACGCACTTCTGCTGCCTCCTGTTCTGCCTGCCACTGGCAGCTGAGCAGGTGACAAGGCAGAGCCTGCATTACTTGCAAACTTGGGCGTAACACAAAATAATTAATTTCAGTTGCAGAAATCCTAGGCCAAACATCCAGGTGCCCTTTCCACACACGTTTTTCAAAACCTTGTGTAATTATTTTATTAGATGCTATTATTCTGACTATTACCTGCGTTGTGCAATCCTCCTGTACTAGCTGTCCATACTCCTGTAATGGTTTCTCTTGGGGAATATAAGCTGTGGCCTGACAACATGGGCCAGCTCCTCTATTTTCTTTTGACAATAAATAATTGATCACCGATACTCTCAGAACAACTGTGTTCTTCCTCTAAGTTGGCTGCACCAGTCAGACCATTTTGCCAATGAACGACCTCCCTTATGAGTATTACTCACAAAAGCGCATCACTCCCATGGTGCATTATTTCTTCTTCTCTTTTCTCCAGAACAATAAGGAGAGATGTGAAAGAGCCCCTGCAGATCTCTGGACTCTCTTTTTACGCACCAAACCAAGCAAAGATTGCTGTCTCAAAGTCTAGATCTTTGCCTTCAGATCCGATGCTCCAAAGACTGCTCTTCACTGACCTGACAGGTAAAATCTCAGGTCATCTGCCTACTATTCATTAGTGTTTTCCAATAAAAAGTGCCCAATATTATCACAGAATTTCATGAAAAAAATAACGAATAATCATATCCATAGTTGGTTTTACCCAAAACTTGTTGCAAAGGGGAAACCAAACAACACACTTGCTATTGCCCAGAAGTATGTGCTGAGACCTACAGAAGACTCTGGTGTAATTCTGATTTTGGATACTGCCTTCTTAGTACATTTACAAATTAGTAAGTATATTTCCTCTAAGCAAGCTCAATCAGAAAATTCCCACACATTTCAGGTCAATGACACT